AAAAATTTTTTTTTGAGCTGATTTTTTGAGGGGGCTCTTAAAACATGATAAGCTAACATACTTTCACAAGAGACACGAAAACAAAAATATTCGTTTTTTTGGGCCACATTGTATACATATAGACAAACTGTGTAATAAAATCTATAAAAATGTATTGCTGGTTGTCTACTGGCAATAAAGCCCTCTTAAGTTACTCAAAAATGTAATTGGCTCGGTTGGTTTAAGATTAATAATTTGTATAAATGTAATCTAATGCTGTACACATACAGAACAACCGAAATAACGTAGGATTTTATTTTTCGATGATTTCAAAATATTTTAATTTGGTTTCTTTAACTTTAACTTATTTAGTGCATACTTAAATGTACAATTATTTTTTGTAGTCTCCATGAGGTTAAATATCCATAGTCTAGACAAGTAATAAAATAATTTTAAATAAAGACTATTACTACACTAAACACAGAAATTAAGGGATATTAAAAAAATCCCAAAATTTTGGGTGATTTTCAGAGCTGTACTTGGAGGGAAATAGTCGTAGAGAGAATCAAAAAAAGGAAATTGACGCTTCAAGTGTCCAGTTTTCAGATCTGCAGTTTAAAATTTTTTAGCGTCAGCAGTTTTTGAGTAATTATAAGAAAATCAACGGAAAAAAAAAATTTTTGACGTTTGAGAAGCTGGTGTTGAGAAGTTAAAATACGAAAAAAATTATTTTTGATTTTTTTTTAAGTATCGAACGTATTTTGATGAAGAAAATATGGATTATTGCTAAAAAAACATTTTTAACTTAAAAAATGAATAAAAAGTGAAAAATTACTTATTACATTTATTTTCGGCAAAAACGACAAATTTAAACATTCCGGGCACTAAGAAAAAAAAATCGCAGCGTTTTGAAATTATCAGGGTTTCTTGAGGACACTGAGGTTGAAAAGTTACAGTCAATTTCCTTAGTTTATTCATTATTTGCAAAGTTATGCCAAGTTATTCGAATATCCCTAATTATGCAATTTTTTACCTTGTTTCTAACCAAAATTTTTTTTATCAAAAACCCATAATTACGACTTGTAGATAATAATTTGCAGTTTTCAAAACCCTGCTGGATTTTCTGTACGACCATTATTTCCGGAGTAATTGATAGCCAAAGTCAACAACGGAACCGCTTAAATTGAAGAGAATTAAATTATCTAAAAGAGCTTTATGATGAAATTCCAAAAAAAATTTTTGAAGTCCACAGGCCTTTTTTAAAAAAGCAAAAATTTACAATTTTTTTTCCGTTGATTTTTTTATGATTACCCAAAACTGCTGACGCTAAAAAATTTTAAACTGCAGATCTCAAATCTAGACACTTGAAGCTTCAATTTCCTTGTTTTTGATTCTCTCTACGATCATTTCCCTCCAAGTTACAGCTCTTTGAAAATCAGCCAAAATTTTGGGATTTTTTTTAATATACCTTAATTTCTGTGCCTAGTGTATTATTACTTGTAACAACATAATTTCTTCAACATATTACTAGTAGATATTAGTCGGTAATGGATAAAACAAAGTTCAGACTTATTAAACTCTTGGATATTTTAGCTGTTTGCAAATATGTACTGTAGGTCATAGCGCCAAACGTACTTGAAGTCATTTCTACCTATTACGCGAAGATGAGGCCGTAAGAAATTATTCGCACCACTATTACGAAACGACAAAATTCGGAATGACCATTCACCTTCCCCGTTTTCGATGTGTTATTTAATTTCTTTCAAAACGAGTGAAACGTTTCTGAAACCACAAAAGCCTTACACTTAAATTAAAACCCCACACTCCTGCACGTTTGCAACAATTAAACGGATTTCGCTGTGACACAGGGGTCGATTTTTTTGTCAGTTTACATTCTCCTTTGACGCGCTCTTGACAGTTGTACATATTATTGCTTCCATTAGCGTGCAGCATATTTTAATTATACTCTTAACCGTGTAAAATCATCTGGACGGTTTTAAAACCGCACAGTCGATATTTAAAAGGGTAGGTCCTAGATGAATGCGATCCAGTAACAATTAATAATTTATTTGTGTTCCGTACATGCCACGTTTAACGTTGGGTTCTTTGTCTTAATAAATCTTTTGCCGGGATGGGTATTTACAAAATCGAATCGTACCCTCCGTCGAATATTGTAAATTATTATAATCATAAACCAAGATAACGGGAGCACTGACTGTATTAAGAGGATAGCGCCGGTAAAATTAATATGAAACTGTCATTTCTGTATAGATGGCTTGATTTAACACGGACAACAATCGACTTCGGGCTTACGACCCGTGAAGGGGCCAGATGTTGCGAGATCCGTGTTTAGTTTTAGTTTACAAGGGATGGCGTATTGCGTAAAATTGACCACTGTCCATTCTGCTGTGCCACTTACGATCTCTACGGTCTATTAGTTTCCGGACCCACATTCGCCCCGTTAATAAAACTCACCAGTTAATCATCTATTGGTGGTACGTGCCTTCTAAATTTATGCTACGTTTTCATTGGGGGGTGGTAAATCTACAGAAAAAAGTATTCAAAATAGGTACAAGCGCAGCGATGAACGACACTTTCATAAATTACTGATGGTGTTTTTGAAGTTGTTGTTTTAAGAGTTTTGAATGGGACGTACATTTCTAGACCAGGGCGGATCTGTCGAAATATCCCAGTTCTTCGATGTGAGAGGGGTCCAGCAAATTTTTGGTGGAAAACCTTCAGTACAACTCACATAATAAAAGTGTAGATCCCTAGATCTGGGCGAGGTGCGGAACATTTTCAAAATTGCAAAAATGTTTGAAAAATTTTAAAAAATACCTATTTTATCTGATTTTTTTACTCATATCTTGGAACCTATGCATTTTGGAAGAACATTGAAGAGGAAAAACGTTTTAGAATTGAATTTTGCACAATATACGGTAAGTTAAAATTGTTTAAAACTTTAGAGTATAATAAAACAACACACCAAATTTCATTCAAATCGGTTCGATAGTTTTCGCAAAATAATTTTTTGAAGAAAATTTGTAAAAAAATTTTCGAAATTTCAAAATGTTGCACATCCTCAAATAAACCATCTAAATTATCTTGAGCGACCTCAAAAAAATTTTTTTTTGAGCTGATATTTTGAGGGGGCGCTTTTTTTGGGTCACCCTACTATGTATGTGTATTTTTAGCCACGAAAATTGAATAATTCCAAATATTTCGAATTTTCACCCCCAAGAACGGCAGTGACATTTTTAACATTAAGGCAAGAGACACGAAAAAAATAAAATTTGTTTTTTGTTGGGCCACCCTAATACATAGGTATTGTATTGTCGAAAGAGAGTTGCAGTAACCCAATTTGGAGAGGACATAGCTAATACAATGCGAAACATCGCTTTCATGTTAAAAATGTTGTCACCGCCGTTCTTGGTGGTGAAAATTGGAAATATTAGGAATTATTCAATTTTCGTGGCTGAAAATATACATACATAGTAGGGTGGCCCAAAAAAAACGAATATTTTTTAAGAGCCCCTCAAAAAATCAGCTCAAAAAAACATTTTTTTAGAGGTTGCTCAAGATTTCTAAAAATTTCCAAAATCGTCAAAAATTTAATTTTTTTTTAAATTTTTTTCTCGTTATTTTATCATTTACTAGGTTGAAAAAAATCTCGATTCTGAAAATTTCAAATCGATATTTTAATTTCTAAAGGTGACTCATAATTATTTTAACTTTCAAAGTAGTGTACCTAAAATGTTTTCGAGCGACCTCTAAAAATACATATCAACGAACTAATAATTGTTTTTATTGAATTTGATGAACAAAAGAATAGAAATAAATCACGAGACACTTAAATTTTATTAAAAAATTAAAAAATTATAAATATTTGATACCCACAGTGCGGTAGTAAATTTTGCCTCGAGAATTTTTTTAAGTGGCTCGTGATTTATTTCTATTCTTTTGTCCATCAAATTTAATAAAAAAATTTATTAGTTCGTTGATATTTATTTTTAGAGGTCGCTCGAAAACATTTTAGGTAAGTACACTACTTTGAAAGTTAAAATAATTATGAGTGACCTTCAGAAATTAAAATATCAATTTGAAATTTTCAGAATCGAGATTTTTTTCAACTTGGAAAATGATAAAATAACGAGAAAAAAAAGGAAAAAAAAATTAAATTTTTGACGATTTTAGAAATTTTTAAATATCTAGAGCGACCTCTAAAAACATTTTTTTTTGAGCTGATTTTTTGAGGGGGCTCTTAAAAAATGATAAAACTAACATATTTTCACAAGAGACCGAAAAAATGTATTCGTTTTTTTGGACCACCCTAATCTAGATACTTGAAAATTTTTTCACATAGAAAAGACCGCTCTACCTTTCAAATGGTTTTTGAAAAATTGAAATCGGTTGATTAGGGCGGCCACAGTAAATTTTTGAAGTTAACAGTCTTTTTTTTATTTTTAAACAATTTTGAAAATGTTCTGGACCTCGCCCAGATCTAGGGATCTACACTTTTATTATGCGAGTTGTACTGAAGGCAATACAGAAAAAATTTGCTTGCCCCCTCTCACATCCACCTCAAAACAGATCCGCCCTGGTCTATTAGCATTATTTATATTAATGCATATTAAGAAAGCAGAACATACATATGCAATGCGTTCAAATAATTTTTATGACTAAGCCCAGTATACATGCAAATTCGTGCAGTTTTACAACTATGCATTTTAAAATTTTGTTTACATACTTCTAAAATAGCAGGGCCCTCTATTAACAAAACTTTGTACTACTGGGGCTGGAGAACAATATTGCAAAAACAAATATTCGCGTATCAACAAGTGGGTGTATTTTCCATGTTTGTCTAATGTTTAATTGCATATTTTAATAATTAATTAACGCTCAAAATTAAATTAAAAAAGGCATAGTAATGGTTTCTGAATCCATTAATTTGACAGTCTTCTAGGTACCGGTATACCGGTGTCTGGTAAACAATATTTAAACATTTCCTGAATTCTACTCACCCTTAAGTCGAAATAATTAAGGTCTCTGTTTAAATAGCACCAACTGCAGAGTAATAAATGAAAAATATGCTTCTGGGAATGTAAGGGTTATGTATTTTTTAAATCCGCAATTCTTGGAACCCAAAAAATTGGTTCGCTCGTTTAAATTTGGTAGTTACTGCTCTATATTCGGAACTCCTATCATAAACAACGGAGATAAGGCAAAAACAAACACGACCGGATAAAATTATTTATCCACAACTGAGATTCACTGACATTTGACATCAACACTAGACGTAGACGTAGCATGCAGATTTCTAGAGGAGTTTAGATCCACTGCCTACTATTGGTACAATTCTGTCCGATTCGTAATCAGTGTAGTAGATTTCTGCAACTTACCAGTGAGGTTACTTAAAAGATGGATAGATGGCGCCGCAGTGTATGAAGCCGTGAAGATGGGTACAATATCGTGAACTCGGTTATCTTTGCAGAAATTAGGACGTTTGTAAAGATTTGATATAACGTAAATACTGTCAATATTTTTTTTTTTTAATATAGTTATAGAAAGAAAGTGGTATGTATAACATAAAAAAAGACTTTTTTAAATTAAACACTTCCAATTTAAGCATTGGATAAATAAACTGTACAGACGCGTTGTTTACTCATATATTGATGAGTTTTACATGATTTAGAACTTTTTGAACGACTTTTGTCGACAGTAGGTGCGAAATTATTTTATTCTTATCTTTTTTTGAATTGCGAGACTTTTCCATCGTGTCGGATTTAATTTAATGGGAACGTAGCAACGGACCACGTCTGGGAAACGACGGTTTTGGGTGGTTTGAGGTATGGAAATATGTTTCCCCCCGAAATCTTTATTTGTAAATAAAAGTCTCGCCTTGAATAAATTTTTTTAAAAGCGTCCCGCCTTTCCTAAAGTATTTACCTCGTTAATTATCCATAATAAGCAATTTCTTCAGTCCAGTGATAAGATCGTTTCCTGAGGAAAATTGCCTGGAATTTTCGAGGAAAATCAATTATTGACGCAACCCTACTTCACTTGCTTTATGAATAATCAAGCGCCCCTTAAGTGTACTCTCTCCGAAATTGATTTATCTGTTAAATGTAGGCATATAACCACCCTTGTTAATTAATTTAAATACGTGCATACTTAATATACACACCTCGGGCGGCCCCAAGTTGGCTCGCGATGTTTCCTGGACGGGTAGTACGCGGAAAAATAAGGGTACTTTTTTCCTATACTTTAAACTTAAATTTATACTAAAAAGGTACTTTTGATGTACAGGGTGTCCCAAACTCGACGCCCCAAGGCAACGAAAAACCGATAAACTTTTATTTAAAAATCACTGTCAAGGTCGTAGTCGAGGTGGCAATTGAAGATAAAATTTAAGCTCTTTGCAAATGTACAATAAAAACTAGCGGTTCCTATTGAAAAAACAACCTTGATCTTGGAGACCATGGTCAAGGTAGTTAAGGACATGGTCGAGGTCATAATTTGAACGTAAAGTTTCATGCACTTTCCAAATCTGTAATAAAAGATAGCGGTTCCTGTTGAAAAAACAACGTTGACCTTGGAGTGACCTTGAAGGTGGTGGTCAAGTCAAGGTGGTGTGTTTAAACAAATTATTTTTTTTTTATTTGGAAATTAATTATTTTGTTGAATACAGATAAAATTAACAAAAAAAAATAGTACTTTAAAATTATAATTTTTGAAAACTAAATTGCAAATTGATAAATGTAATCTGTTTTTAAAGATAAAAAAAATTGTGTTAACTAAAAATTTACTGTGGCCGTCCTAATCAACCGATTTCAATTTGACAGGTTGAGCGGTTTTTTTATGTGAAAACATTTTCAAGTACCTAGATGCTTTATTTGAGGCTGTGCAACATCTTGAAAATTCGAAAAATTGTTTTCAAATTTTTTTCAAAAAATTATTTTGCTAAATTATACTCTAAAGTTTTTTACCAAAATTAGAATGCCCTCGGAGCAATTAAAGTATTTTTAAAAAATGATCCGAAAAACTTGACTATTTTGCCTTTTTTTCTTCAATTGTTTCTTAATATTTTATGATCTCATCAACACAAATTTCGAAATATCTAAAACTTTAATTTTTGGTGCATACTTCAAATTTTCAGTAACATTTTTCCCTGTAATATCATTGGAGCGTCAAGTTTGGGACACCCTGTATACAGGGCGACCCAGAACAGAGGGTTGGAAACCGCAATCGGGGATTTCTAAGGCAGTATTTGACTTAAAATGCTTTATGCACTCTGTACTATCATCTTGAAAATGTCTGGGGATAATTAAAGACCGCCTTGTGTGTAAAGGGTGTCCCAGAAATATGTGCCAACATTTTTATTCGTCAAAGGCAGCAAGTTTTGAGTAATATTTTTTTTCCCGGTATTTTGTACCCATTAAAATAACGCTAACGAGCCGCCTATGAATTAAAGAAATATCTAATGCTAATATTCCCAAAACATTTTTAATTTAAAAAAAATATATCTTAGTTTTGATGAATGGTTAAAAACTACAGCTACAAATTGTTAACAATACAATAAGGTCAAAAAAATATTTTTAATCAATCATTAGATTTTTCCTTTTGGAAGGTGTTTAATTTAAGATTTTTTACTACTTTCTCGTTTTGTTTCCAGTGAACCTACCGCCCTGGACATAATTTTCGCCTTTCTAGAAAAGTTATTAATATTTAATTTGAGCATATTAGGGACTCGTAAATTTACTGACGCATCTGCATTAAAAGACGGCAATATGAAACAAAGTGCTCGGAAAAGCACGTTGTCTGATTTTAATTCCTTTAAAAAGCCCCATAAATGTGATATAAAAATCGTTTGTTGTATATTAAGGACGCCGTAAGTGTTAGGGGAGCTATTGATTCGACCCTGAAGGACTGAGGACTGAAAAGTCTAATAACGGAGTCTGTCCTACCGAAAAATAATGGATTGAGAACCGCGTTCAGTTCGATGTAAGAGATCGATTATTTCCTAAACTACGTTCAGCGTTTAATTTATTTTAGGTCGTCGAATGTTACCTTTGTACCTACCTAAGTGCAATTGTTCTCATTTGTATGTACATGTCGTCTGGAATGGGGGTTAAATAAAAGTCGGCATTAAAACACAAACTTTCATTTTATTGTATATGGTTGACTACATATTTAACACAGGTAGTTTAAGTAATACAATACAGAGGAGCAATATTTGGAAGCACATAGCATGCTTATAACCTGACATCACACATAACTATACCAATTTAATATTATTGTCCATTGCATCGACTAGATTCATAGCAGCAAAAAGCCAAGGAATACATAAGTAAACAGTATTGTCTAGTCTAAAACAAATTTATTTTTGCTATAAAACAAAAACTGTGTCAATTTTTGACATACATATTTCCCATATAACATCTAACTTTTACCGGGTAACAGTGGCAGGGTCTAAATTGTTTTTATCGCCCTTCTAGATTTTAAATAAACGCCGCGGTCAGGGGGAGGGGTTAGGAAAAATTACGCCGCCCCAGATATTCGCTGATAAAATATATTTATTCAGGTATTGGGAGACGTAGGGAAATTCTGAAAAGACGCCAAAGTTACATCTTGATGAATTTCATAAAATGCCTTTTATTTCCTCTCTATTGTTACGGGCGCCTTATTGTGTTTTTTTGAATATATTTAAGGTGAGTCATTCCCAACGCCATGTCGTTAATACGTTTTTTATGTGACTTCGCGCGAAGTCGTATAAGTTTTAAAATGATTTTTTTTAAAAAGCGTTTTATTCTGCTTCACGACGCAATTCCATACGCACAGGTTGTTTCACAACTTCCTGTCACAACTACGAGGGATTTTATCCCTTTTGGACCTCGGCCCTAAAAGGTCCTGAAATTAGAGCTATCCACATCACAGGAATTTCCTAACCTCAAAAAACAGGTCAACAATAGCAAAAATTCACGAAAAAGCGCTAGGAAAAATACAAAAAGGTTTTTTCTATATTCAAATATTCATTTATGTGGTTAAGACCCTGCTGAACGAGAATCCGCTGTCAGATTTTTCTAACCTCAAAAAAACAGGTCAGACATCACGAATTTTAAAAAAATAACAGATTCGCACCAAAATTGGTATACGGGGGTTAACGGGGTCGCTGATCACGGATCCGAGGTCAATTTTGCAAAATTCATGAAGGCGGATCCAAGATGGCCGACCAAATTTTCAAAAAATAACACATTCGCGCCAAATTTGATATACGGGGGTTTTCGGGGTCACTGATCACGAATCCGAGATCAGATTTACAAATTTTACATTTTTAAAAATTTAATCAATTACCTATGTACTTTATTACCGGAGGTTAGGCAGAAAACCCGCGAATAGATCTTTGACAGAAAGAAGAACAATATATAGCCGAAAAAAATTAGGTTAAAACATGATTGGGTACTTACGTTATAAAGTAAACAAACGCAAACCCCCCGATTACCAAATTTGGTGCAAATTTGAAAATTTGGTCGGCCATCTTGGATCCGCCATCTTGAATTTTGCAAAATTGATCCGTGATCAGTGACCCCGAGAATCCCTTTATATCAAATTTGGGGCGAATCTGTTATTTTTTGAAAATTCGTGATACATGACCGTTTTTTTGAGGTTAAAAATAAACCATCAATTCTGACCGCGTACCATATAAATGAATATTTGAATATACAAAAAAAAAAAAATTATTTTTTTCTAGCATTTTTTCGGCTCAGTTCTGACAGCCCTATATAACTATAAAAATAAAAAAAGATACGAGATTTTGAACATTTCATAGCTGAATTATACAGGGTTATCCAAAAGTCCCATGACGGCAGAAAAACTTTCAATAAAATTCAATTCAATATTTTGGGAAAAATGTTTCAGACAAAAGTGTAAGGATGGTCAAGACTGCTATTTCCAAATCCACAATAAAAAATAGGGGTTTCCATTTAAAAAACTTAACTTGACCTTCAAATGACCTTGAAGGTCAAAGTCAAATCCAAGGTCACCGTCAGATGGCCAATGAAAAATCCTTACACCTTTGTCTGAAACATTTTTTCCCAAAATGCTTTCTTCGAAAGTTTTTGTGCCGTACCGGGATTTTTGGATAACCCTGTATATATATCAGGCTTTTTTCAAGAGCAACGGTGAACGACGCACAAAAAGCAACAAAAAATAAATAACTTCCTGTACACTGATAGCATGTTAATTGTGTCATCGCGACGGTTAACCTACTCGTTTTGAGA